CCCCATCCAGTCCTCATCGGAGCCCAGAAAACAGGGCAGATGGGATACGAACTACACTTATCATGGAAGCAGTACGAAATTTACAATGAATTCAAGCCATTCCCCTGGGATTTGAGCCACCAGATGGCTGTCCTGTTCAAGGATGCCTTTCGACAGCCTAAAAGTACCGCATAAGGAGATCCCAGCTCCTTTTCAGACATTACTCATGTCTATAGGGCAAGAAATTACAACCTAAACGCAGAAACAAAAGCAACTCACTAAGTGAAGCCAATTAAACTGTTGGGGAACCTAAACGCCAGCCCTTATCTCTTGGTTTAGTAATTCCTACGCGATTAGAAAGCCAACATAGGAGGCTGCCAACCTTCCTCGCCTCTTTCAACCTCACGTCACCTATTCCCACAATACCACATTATTCCCACAATAACCACAAGGTTGTGAATCGAAGCACCATCACCTAAAAAAAAAAAACACAGTCCAATTTTAGGGTCAAAATCAATCCCACCATCCTCACCGGCGTTTCAAAGCAAGCTATCTCCTAACCAACAAGCAAATCATTGTTTATTTTCCCCATCCATCGCGTTCTCAATCACAGCCATGATTGTTTCCCTACAAATAGCAACAAAGTATTACAGCCAAAGACAACCTGTTGATCTATATCCACTTTGTGTTTTCCTACACCTTGACTGCTGCTTCCTCCACAGCTCCCTCTCCCCAAATAAGGGCACAACCCATGCCCCCCCCCCTACCCCAAGAATGACAAACACCTCGCTTTTTGAGCACACCACTTCCTTATAGAAAGGGGAAGCAGCTAATGTTGGCGTTAAGCAAGAAAGCAAGCCAGGCTATTATTAGTCCGAATACCAAGGACAAAATAAGCAAGTGAAACTTTGTGCCTTCAAGAACTTTTCTTTGCATGAACCCAAGGCAGAAAGGGAACTGCAGGACCCCAAGCTAGGTTTGGCCCACAAGGAGAGCCCTGTTAATGCATGGTTAAACAGACCCCCTCCCCAAATTAGGAACCCGGGGTCGCTTTTCCAAAGCCAAAAGCCTGAAAAGGGGGGGGCCCTATCCAAGGACTCCAGATTTGAAACTCAATTTGGACCCCCGTTTTGCTAGGAAGCCTTGGAGTGTGGGCTGCAGGGAAACCTCAGCATTCCCAACCCTTCCAATTCCCAGTGCGATACCAAAACAGCTGTTGAAAAAGATCTTTTTTCCCCCCAAAAGGCAGCCACTGCCTGGATGCCTGAGAATCTCCACAGACAGCTGCTGTGAAAAAGTCCCATTTGGACCAGATGCAAAAA